TTGCAGGCTCAATCTCCAGTAGGGGGCATGCAGGAGGCAGCCAATCAATGATTCTCTCACATCATTGATGTTTGTCTCTCCCTCTCCCTTCCTCTCTGAAATCAATTAATATATATGTAATACATGTGCATTTGCATACATATATGTGTGTGTGTGTGTGTGTATTTTTACATATATATGTATGTATGTGTATAAATACTAGTGACCCAGTACATGAAATCCAGGCACAGGTAGGGTACTTAGCAGCTGCCAGCTGCCAGCCAGGGCCTCCCTTCATTTTACACTGCCCCCTGGTGGTCAACACATGTCATAGCGAGCGATTCAACTCCCAGTTGGTTGAACTTCTTTGCATATTAGGCCTTTAAATCCTATTTAATAAAGAGTGGAATATGCTAATTGACCCTCACACCATCACAAAGATGATGGTGCCCACAGCCAATAAGGAGGGAATATGCTAATTGACTGCCCCCCCCTCAAAGATGGCAGCACCCACAGTCACAAGATGGTGGCACCCAGTCCCCACAGCCCCGAGGGGGCAGTAGGTGCACGGCAAAGCCGGGCCCATGTGCTTACCTCTGAGGTCCACCAGGCACTCAGCGTCCAGCTGCCACCCAGGGCTGGCCTGAGGTGCAGGCAAGCCTCGGATGGCGGCTGCCTGGCTTCCAAGAGCCCCCTGAGGCTTGTGTTGCTGGCAGTGGCAGCAGCAGAGGTGTGATGGGGCATCACCTTCCCCTGATCTCCAGATCGCCTCCTGCCAATGAGGCTCCCGGACTGAGAGAAAGGGCGGGCAGGGCTGAGGAGCCCCCGCTCCAGTACATGAATTTTCATGCACCAGGCCTCTAGTATGTATATAGAATACACACATATTTGGTAGAAGCTGGTGGACATTGCCTTTATTTTTTAATTATACTTTTGATTTCAGACATTCTTGCAGGCATTCTGGTGTATGGTATTAATCAACTGACACTTCACCTCTCTCCTACTTCTATTTTCATCTATCTGACTTAATAGTTACCTATATTTAGACATCTCTTTATATTACAAAGCCTCACAAAATGAACATAATTTAATATGTTGATCACACATAAATGGTGTAAAAAAATCTGGGGAAATGCTCTTTTTTGATCTATATTTTAGAAAACAATGAAAGACCACATTGCCATTCACATCTTTGGAAAGACCTCTTATTTTCTTTCAAAGGACAAAACCCACTGACTTAGAAGCGTGGTGGTAAAGGGCAAGATCTTTTTGCCTTACTTTCTTCATCTATAACTTGCTAAAGTGTCAAGAATGAGGTAATAGAGGATGTGACAATTAATAAATGATCAATACTATTACTATGAATATCACTATTTAAGAATGATCTATGTGTTTATTGTAAAATTTTGTCTCTTCCAATAGAAAATAAGCCCCATGATGCTGGAATCTTACCTGTATATACATTTAGGCAACTGCCAAATGTGTCTCAAGTGGAGCATTTAAAGCAGTCTCTTGGTAAGGATGGGACTTCTCAAAGTATTTAGGGTCAAAGGAAATTCCTCTAACGAACTCTAAAACTGAAATTGCCTCAATTTCCAGCACTAGGGGAAATTTTGAAGACTGTCCAGCAGAACAAAGTATATGATGACAATATAGGTATAAGCACCAAAACAACTGCAGAAGTATTTTAATCCTAGTCTATGGATACCTTATTATGTGATAGAGCATCGTGAGGGTTAAACAAGATCAAAAAGCAAAATCCATTATATTCTGCAAACTTATTTGTCAACTCAAGGTTTCTGGGGGTTTATAAAAATTAATACAGTGTTTAAGTCAAGTTATAGCCCAACTATATCAGGGGAAAGGAAGGTAAGAAATAAAGGAGGGTAAAAATGTACTGTGCACCAGCATTTTACATATCATGCACCTGTATTATTTTAACAACCCCACAAAAAATATATTTATCACAGAAGGGATGAATATTCCTCTAAAAGAATGACCAGAAAATGTATATAAACAAAAATTAAAATTCGCCGAGACCGGTTTGGCTCAGTGGATAGAGCCTCGGCCTGCAGACTGAAAGGTCCCGGGTTCGATTCAGATTAAGGACATGTACCTTGGTTTGGGGGCACATTCCCAGTGGAGGGTGTGCATGAGGTGGCTGATCGATGTTTCTCTCTCATCGATGTTTCTGTCTATCCCTCTTTCTTTCTCTCTGTAAAAAATCAATAGAAGATATATTAAAAAAATTAAAATTCTATAGTACACAATAGACTCTTTTATCAGTTTGATGAAAATGATAGTTTAAACCAGGGGCCATTTTTAAGAATTTAAAGCATTTAAATAGCATTATAGCAAAGGTTAGTGATATTTACATAGTTACCATAAAATTAAGAATTAAGCCCTTATGTATTTTATATAATAAAGTTGAATTTCTGTTAAAGTCTACCTTAATAATAATATTCAGATATTTGAGATTATGAATATGGAACAGCATTTTTTTGATATGTACTAAAGGTTAAATTTTATTTTTATTAGTAGTAGTTGTAAAAGAAAATAGCAAAGGCTAGTGGTAATGTCTATTAATTTGCTTGGGTTACCATAACAAAATATCAACAGACTGGGTGTTTTCAACAGCAGAAAATGTGTTTTCTTACAGTTCTGGAGGCTGAAAGTCCAAGATCAAGGTGTGGCAAATTTGGTTTGATGAAGCCTCTCTCTTTGGCTTGTAGATGGATGCCCTCTGTGCTTTTACAAAGTCTTCCCGCTGTGTGGGCACATCCCTGGTGTTTCTTTGTATGTCCAAATTCCTCTGCTGCTAAGGATACCAGTCCGATTTGATTAGGACTCACTCTAATGACCTCATTTTAACATAATCACCACTTAAAAGCCCTCATCTCCAAATATAGTCACCTTCTGACGTGATTGGCAGTTCGGACTTCAACATAAGAAGTGGGGGGATGGCACATTTCAGCTCACAACAGAAGCCAGTCTCAGGGCCAGGATCTCTGAGGGTCAAACAGAGAAGGCTCTCCTCGGGAGCCAGAAATAAAAGTGGGACCCAAGCATGTCTGGGGGAGCAGTGGGCCACACTGTGGCTACCCAGGCAACTCATCCAATTGGACCTTGCCACGGTGCTAAGAGCAGTGCATCTAGAGATAGTTTTATAGCCCATAGTGGGTCTGCCTGACCCCAGCCTGACAGGTGTGGGTGAGACCAGCTCAATGGGTAACAAGAGGAAGTGAGTATGGGAGATCCCGAAAGGAAAGAACATGTGGTGGTGAACAGCGTTTTTAAATGTTTGACCACATAATGTTTAAACTATGTTTGCCTTAGGAAATTAAATTTGCTTACCCATCTTGTGGTAATTTAATCACTATGACTTCACGAATTTGGCTTTACTTAGTATGTGTAAGACGGTTGATTCTTTTAAAATTAGGAATATGATCATTTATTTCCCTTCGAAATACCTATTGTGTAGTAATATAAAGTGGCTGAGATTAATTTGAAAACAAACTACTGTGCTTTCCATGCAACCAATTTATTTGTGCCACACATTGTTTTAACCCCTGGGAAACGGCCATGTACAAAACACAAGATCCCAGCATCACGACACTTTATTTTCTATTTTGAGACAAAGAAATTAAAAATAGATACTTTCACATAGGATAAGTGTCTTGAAATGTATACAGGGCAACAAGGCAGTGCATAACCAGGCCTAATCAGCAGGGGTGGGTGATCAAGGAAGGCCTCTCTTGAGTTTGCGCTAAGACCTGAAGCAGCACGTCAGAGATAAACACAGTTCACGCCGCGGCGAATGCAGGTGCGGACTCCTTCTGGGACCAGACTGATTCTTGGTGTCGATGTCTGCACATCTCGATTATGCAGACAAACCTCAATTTCTAAAATGCTTATTCTACTGTATTCCAGACGAGAATCTGCGGGTCAAAGGTTAGTGGGGCCAAGCAACTGATTCCGAAGTTGGTACTTGCCTTCGTGGTGCTGGGGACAAAAAGGTATCGCAGGCGAGGAACACTGCGCTCCGGTAACGGTGCGGGCAGCACTGAAGACGTGTTGGCCTCCTTTTGGCCTCATCCGGGAAGGCACCGAGAGGGAATCAGAAGACCAGCGTCCGTCCTTCCTTCCCACGTTTCTTCCCACTAACAACACATGGCCCGGGTTTCGAGTTGGAGGGAAGGGGCGAGGGGGGAAAGTAAGAAAGCAAGCAAAAGCCTCCAAGGCTGTTTATTTTTTATTTTTTTATACGCAGTGTAGTTTCCCCATGTGATGTTTATGTCTTTTTAAAAATATTTTTTTATTGATTTTTCACAGAGAGGAAGAGAGAGGGACAGAGAGCCAGAAACATCAATTAAAGAGAACCATCGATCCGCTAGCTGCCTCCTGCACACCCCCCACCAAGGATGTGCCCATAACCAAGGTACATGCCCCTGACCGGAATCGAACCCGGGACCTTTCAGTCTGCAGACCGAAGTTCTATCCACTGAGCCGAACCGGTTTCAGTTCTCAAGGCTTTCTTGACTGTTAAGATGCAAACAAATACGCGATGATTTCAAGGCAAGGAGTAAAGGTGCAGGTGCGGGGGAAGACAACAAGAATACACCCCAGGGGGGGCGGGCTTAGGGTGGAGGGGATCACTGGGTAAAAAAAGGGGACATCTGTAATACTTTCAACAATAAGGTCCATTTACAAAAAAAAAAAAAAAAAAAAAAGAATACACACCAGAATTCACCTGCAGCCACGCCCTCCCCACACCGGCCCAGCCTAAGTCCCGGGACTCAGAACCTCTGGATTCGCGCTCCGCGTGCGTCACTTCCGGTGCTTCCGCGCCGGCGCCCGTAAATGACGCCCATGAACTTCCGGGTCACCGAGGCCGCCAGTGGCGGCGCAGGCGTCGTCGCTCGCTGGTACCTCGCAGGTACCCGGTCTATGGAGTCCGTTGGTGCCGGCGGTGGCGCGGAGGCAGGAGACGCGGTCCGAGTAGGGGCCTGTGCCCCGCCAGGATGTTGCCGGGCTTGGCCGCCGCCGCTGCGGCCCACAGACAGGGCTGGTCCTCCCTGTGCCGGCTCCGTCTGCGCTGCGGGGCGGCGGCCCGCGGCTCCGGCGAGCTCCAGGGTGAGTGTGGCGCCCGCCGGCCGCCGATCCCGCGGGGGCCGCGCTGCGGGGCCTGGCCGAGCTGGGCGGGCTCGGCGCCTCTCTCTCCGCGGGCAGGGCGCCCGCCAGCCCCCTCCCCGGACCCCGAACCCTTTCGGGGCTCCGCCTTTGCAGCTTGGCCTGCCCCAACCACCTCCTTTTCCCCATCCCCCCCGCCGCCGCCAGGGGGGCTCCGGACAGGCCGTGGTGACCCTGGTGTCGCCTACGATCCCAGACAGGGCAGGTCTCGCAGGAGCTGGCGGGCAGGGTCACCACCTTGAAGCCGCCCCCTTGGTACATAACAGACATGAAGTGCACATCGCCGTGTCCAGAGGTGACATCCTCTCTTCTCCCCCCGCCTAGGCAGTGGAGAATGGCTGATTCCTCCAAGTCCCAGGTCTGGTCTTGTCTTTTTTCTTTTCTTTCTTTTTTTTTTTTTTAATATACTGTATTGATTTTTTTTTTTACAGAGAGGAAGAGAGAGGGATAGAGAGCCAGGAACGTCGATGATAGAGAAACATCGGCCAGCTGCCTCCTGCACACACACCCCCTCCCCCCACCGGGGATGTGCCCGCAACCAAAGCACATGCCCTTGACCGGAATCGAACCTGGGACCCCCCAGTCCGCAGACCGATGCTCTATCCACTGGGCCAAACGGGCCTCGGCGGTCCCAGGTCTTTTGAGCTAACGACTCACCTTCAGTGCAGCTGAGTAGATTTTCTTGCCCTGCTCCTATTCCCAACTTGTTTTCTTACATTTCCTAAAAGGATGAAGGCGCGCTGAGGCGGGTGTTTGTGTGTGTGTGTGTTGCTATTTGACATTTACAAATCTGAATTATGAGGGTATGGCTATCTCACAGGCATTGAATGGAACCCAGTTTTTTGGCTGAAAAAACGAACCATCTTTTATTTTTCCATTGAACAACCTTTTTGGTGGAAAAGTATCTACTGAGGCTGTAATTTTTTTTTTTTAATCCCTCTGCTTCAACATTCTTTTCTAATTTCAATTGTATGAAAGCTGCCAAAATAGTTTTGGGCCTGTAAGTTTTAATCAGGCTTTTGCCTCCCTTCTGGCCCTAGATTGGCCTGCCACAGTGTGACACTTGAAAATTGTGATGGAAACAGTGAGGGGGGAGACTGATCCAAAACCATCCTTAGTCCTCCAGCTTCTTGAGAATACAAAGAGTATTTGCAGGGACATTTTTCAAAAATTCATGTTTGAAACACTTGTAGCATGCTTGTGACCTCGCAATAGAAGTTGTAGTCAAGTTATTCAAATGTATACTGTAAGCTCTGGCAATGCCTATGCTGTGCAAATAATACATTTGTATTTTCTATTTGCAATAAAGGTAAAAACAGGCTCTTAAGTTTTCAGAAATGTTCTTGAGGCTTTTTGGTGGTGATGGGAAAGTATAATTGTTGACTTTTTTTATATTGGTAATATGCCTGATTCTCTTATGACCAGAATGAATCATTTGGTTATACTCACTTTAAAATACCCAAGTAAGGCCCTAACTGGTTTGGCTCAGTGGATAGAGCATCGGTCTGCGGACCGAAAGGTCCCGGGTTCAATTTCAGTCAAGGGCATGTACCTTAGTTGCGGGCACATCCCAAGTGAGGGGTTTGCAAGAGGCAGCTGATTGATGTTTCTCTCACATTGATGTTTCTAACTCTATCCCTTCCCCTTTCTCTCTGTTAAAAAAAAAAAAATCAATAAAATATATATTTTTAAAAATACCCAAATAAGCCCCCAGCAAGTTTGTCTCAGTGGATAGAATGTTGGCCCTCAGACGGAGGTGTCCAGGGTTGGATTACATCAAGGGTACATACCTCAGTTGCAGGCTCAGTCCCACCAGGCTCCTGCAGGAGGCAACCAGTCCATATGTCTTTCTTACACTGATGTTTTCTCTTTCTGTCTCTCTCCCTCTCTTCCATTGTCTAAAAGTTCATGGAAAAATATCCCCGGGTGAGGATTAACAACAAAAAATACCCAAGTAAACTTTATAGCATTGCCTCTGTTGACCACATAATTTCTGCACTTTGCATTTAAATTAGTTATAGTGGCTGTTGAATTTAGGCAAAACTACCCTTCATATATTGGTTAAAAAGGAGTTGAAATAGTGTAACATGTAATCCTATTCTCTGTAACTGTCATGTCAAAAATAATGTTCTCTTATCATCTGGGAAACATGAATAATAATTTCCTATCTCACCAGTCAGAATGACTTGGCAGAGTTCTTTGGAATGTTCATTACTAAAAAATTAAAATATGTTTTCATACTTAAAAACACTTAGTGGGTTTTTAAAATAACCTTGTTTCTGAAAATTTAGTTTCAGTCATACTGAAACTTTTAAAAGGGCTACTATAATTATGGTAAAACTTAAAAATCATTTAGAAAAAGTACTGTTTAAGTGTAAGAAGAAAATATTTGAAGAACTTTTGGGAAAAAATTCTAAAAACATACTTTTTTGTCAAGAAATAAAGTTTAGTCTATGCTTATAAAATTCCTGTGTGGGAGAATATGGGATCGGGAAGAATTTATGAAGAGTAAAGAGAGGAGGAAACCTTGAGAGAAACAATTGCTTCATTTGCATACTTAAAATGAGAACTACCTGTCAAACTTAACATGGAAAATATTTAAAGGTGAAAGGAAACAGTATACAAGATCTGTACTGTCCAAAAGAAATAAGTGAGCGATGTATATATTTTTCAGTTATCTGATATCCATATTTTAAAAAATAGAAATGAAATTAACTTTAATATATTTTATCCAGTATATTAAAAATATTTCAAAATGTAATCAATATAAAAATTATTGACATTTTACATTATCTTTTAAAAATATTTTTATTGATTTTCAGAGAGGAAGGGAAAGGAAGAGAGAAATAGAAACATCAATGATGAGAAGGAATCATTGATTGGGCCGCCTTCTGCACGCCTCCCCACTGGGGCTCGAGCTCACAACCCAGGCATGTGCCGTTGACAGGAATCGAACCCAGAACCCTTCAGTCTGCAGGCCGATGCTCTATCCACTGAACCAAACCTGCTAGGTCTAATTTCTATTTTTGTACTAAATTTTTGAAGTCCAGTGTGTATCTTACACTTACAGCACATCTTAGTTTAGAGTAGCCACATTTCAAGTGTTCAATGAACAGTGACTCCTTTATCGGATGCAGTTAGAGTTAATATCCTTAATTTAAAAAGAATTTTTATAAACCAATGTACATTTCAGTGGCAAAGTGGGCAAAGGAAGTAAATAAAGAGTTCAAGTGGCCAATAAAAATGCAAAAAATGTTTTATACCCACTAATAAACATAGAAATATAAGTTTAAAGGGTTTACTCCTCATCGCCTGTCTGTGTTGGCTAAGTTTTTCATAATGATGCCTCATATTGAGAGTCCAGGAAAGCAGGAACTCTCTTACTACTGATTGGGACATAAGTTGACCAGTGTTTTATTGGTCAGTTATTCTTTGTATAAAAATAACTTTAAAGGTTACAAACTTTTATAATAACTTCTGACCCAGTAATTCTACTTAAAGGGATTTACTTTAATGGAATAATCAGGCATATATTAAAATGTGTGCAGAAGTTCATTATTCATAGTAATAAATAGGCAACATAATTATAAGTAATTGAAAACTGAAATATAGTAAATTTATTATGGGCTGATGATATATGCAACCCTTTTTAAAATATATATATTTTATGGATTTTCCACAGAGAGGAAGGGAGAGTGATAGAGAGCTAGAAATGTTGATGAGAGAGAATCATTGACCAGCTGCCTCCTGCACACCCACTACTGGGAATGTAACCACAACCAATGTACATGTCCTTGACTGGAATCGAACCTGGGACCTTTCAGTCTGCAGACTGACGGATGCTCTATCCACTGAGCGAAACCAGTTTCGGCTATGCAACCCTTTTTTAAAGTAATAATTTAGAATACTTAGTGACATGGAAAAATGCTTTTGTACTTTTAGGTAAAATTAGAAAAAAAAATAGTAAGAAAATATACTGTGATATTAACTGAGTTTCTCTAGGAAAAATATTTAGCTTTGTGTTTTTCAAATGATCTACAATAAACATATACTTTTAAATAATAAAATGTTACTTAGTTTTTATAGTGAATGTATCTTTTTTGTTTTAAATTTCTTTGGCTTTGCATAAAACACTTAACTTTTTCTTTTTAAAAAAATATATCTATTGATTTCAAAGAGGAAGGGAAAGGGAAAGAGATGGAAACATCAATGATGAGAGAGAATCATTGATTGGCTGCCTCTTGCAAGTCCCCTACTGGGGATCAAGCCCACAACCCAGGCATGTGCTCTTGGCCAGAATCAAACCTGGGACTCTAGTCCGCAGGTTGACGCTCTATTCACTGAGAGAAACTAGCTAGGGCTTGTGTGTGTGTGTGTGTTTTTTTATATATTTATAAAAATATTGACTAAAATTTGAGGTCAGAGGATGCTCCTTTAAGTATTTACCGCATATCAAATGTACAGACACATGCTTTTGTTTAAATTTGAGATTAATAAAAGTTTTAAAATAAAAATATAGAAATTAAAGCTATGTATTTTATTACTAAAATTGCTCATATTTACTACCATAAAAAAAGTAGAGTAGGGATTTTAACAATTTGACTTTTGTCCCAGAACTCCCTCCCTTAAATAACGAATAGGAACGTTGACAATTCTAAGAGACCATTTTGGCAGACAGCATGATTCTGTGTATCATAGTTCAAGTTAATGATCGTATTTATAACTGTAAAATGAGGTAACCTTCGTACGTTCTTCGTGTATAAGGATTATTCAGTAAAGAGGTGCTAGACATTGTAGTTCCTATGGTGTTTGCTGAACAAGAGACACAGTTTTCACCTTTATTGGGCAGACTCTAGGAATGAGAAAACGTAAGTGTTGTGCGAGAAATACGCAGGGTGCTGGGCTAGAAAGTAGCCAGCATGGACTGTTTCATTACATGTGCT